TTTTCTATGGTGTTTCTTAGTTATTGTCCAACTTTCACATGTCTATGAGGCTACTGAAAATACCAGGGCTTACGTCAGGCGCACCTTAGTCCTCAAACTGAAGCATTTGCTCTTGAACACTAGAGATGTTTTCAGTAACAGATTTGCCTAATGCAATACATATTTTGATTTCTTGACTGCTGCTTCCGTGAGTGTTGTGGATCCAAGCAAAATGAAGTCTTTGATAAATTCAGTCTTTTTTCCATGTGTCATGGTGTGATTTATTGGTCCAGTGGTGAGGATTGTTTTTTTCTTTAGCATTGTGTTGCAGCCCATACTGAAGACTGTGGTCTTTGGTCTTCACCTATATGTATTATTGGTCCTTTCTGCTCACAAAAAGCAAGATTGTATCATTTGTGTATCTCAGGTTGTTAATGAGTCATCCTACAATCCTGATGCCATGTTCTTCTTCAAATAATCCAGTTTCTCGATTATGTGCTCAGCATACAGATTGAATAACTATAGTGAAAGAATATAGCCCTAGTGCACACCTTTCCTGGTTGTAACCTGTTCAGTGTCTGCTTGTTCTGTTTGTGTAACTGCCTCTTGGTCTGTGTTCAGGTTCCTCAAGAGCACAGTAAAGTGTTCTGGAATGCCCAGTCTTCACAATGTTGTCAATACTTTGTTATGAGTCACATAGTAGAATGTTGTTGTTGTTGTTAGGTGCCATCGAGTCGTTGCTGACTCGTAGTGACCCTATACACAAGAGAACGAAACACTGCCTGGTCCTGGGCCAACCTCACAATTGTTGCCACACTTGAGCCCATTGATGCTGCCATTTTGCCAAACCATCTCTCTAGGAGTCTTCCTCTTTTTCTCTGACCCTCCACCTCACCAAACATGATATCCTTCTCCAGTGACTGATGCGAATGAGGGGTACCTTATTCAAGAGTTCTGCATCTGAGCCCCTCTTCCTCATAATCATGAAGAACATTGTCTTCCCCATTCACTCCCTCGGTGCCATTGGTAAGGGACATTTCTCCAGACCACAGGCAACAGAGCCTCTGCTGGCCTGTTCTGCCCTCTCCCTGTCCTTGGAGGTCCCACAGTCAGCTTGGACAGCCAGTCTCAGGAAGCTCAGGTGATCCTGGCTCTACTGGGCACCCTCTAGGGTGACTGACTCATCTTGGTGTGCCCTGTCTGTCCCAGTTGTAGAAATGAAAGGTCTGAAAGCCAAGAAAGCCCTCAGTTCCAGGCAAACCAGGATGCTCGATCACCCCTCCACCCCACACCCAAGGCCAGACATGAGGGAGGCATTGGAACTGCTTCTACACAACTGGTCATGATCTTCCTGTCACCAGAGGAAGAAATGCCTTGTGGGCGTATACTAGCACTGCTCTGTATAGTGAGCAGAACCAACTGTATTCACCCCAAGTACTCCAGGGAGCTCCTGGTAGAGTAGGTGTGGACAGGAAAGATCAGGAGTAGCTTCAACCTAGATCATTAGATGGCCCTAGGAAGCCATGCTTACGGGAGAGATTGGCTTGCCTTGTGAGTCCACCATGAGGCATATTGATCCCAACTCACAGCATACGTCATGTTTCCAATCAATCCCAGCGTCCCAAGCAGACAATTCTAAGGAAACTGGGAAGAGGCCTGGCCACCGGGCCCTACCACATGCTTTCTAAGATTATTACTACTGTGATACTCGTCTGGGGGTAAACAAGACCCATCTATTTGTTGGTGGTTCAAGCTCACCAGCCACTCCTCAGAAACCCTATATAGGGTCACTATGGGTCAGAACTGACTCAACATTATCTTAACAACAACAACAACAACATATTATCTAATAAGGAGTCCTGGAGGTGGACACATTGCGCTGCTAACCACAAAGTCAACAGTTCAAGCCCACCAGGCACTTTGCAGGAGAAAGATGAGGCTTTGTGCTCCTGTAAAGATTTACAGCCTCAGAAACCCTATACAGGGTTACTATGAGTCAGAACCGACTCCACAGCACATCGCCACCAGGTAACTAATGCTGCTGTAACATAAATCCCACAAATGGGTGGATTTAAAGATCAGAAATATATAGCCTCACAGTTCTGGAGGTTACAGTCCAAACGAGGGTCTCAGCTGCGTTGATCCTTTCCTAGTCAGTATTATTGTTGTTGTTAAGAGCCATCAAGTCGATTCTAACTTGATGTGGCCCTGTATACAGCTTCCAAGACTATAAATCTTTGAGCAGAAGCCCTCGTTTTTCTCCTGTGGAGCAGCTGGTGGACTTGAACCACTGACCTTCACTCCTTGTTGGCAGCCCCGGACATTCCTTGGTCCCATGGCGTTCCTTGGCTTGTAGCAGATCCTCACATGACATCTGTCCTCCCCAGTGTTTAGCTCAGGGCCTAAATTGCTCCTTTTGTACCTCAGAAATATTCAATTTAGCACTCATCCTGCTCAGCTGTAAACTAACAAAATACGCTACTTCCAGAGAGGTCCCTCTATTGGTACATACTTGGAGGGCACACAGTTCAATCCACGATGGCCTCTGTTGCTAGTCACCTCAATTGACTATGACTTCCACAATTGTTGTAGCTGTCATGTGCCAGTGAGTCCGTCCCTACTCGTGGTGACTCCCCGTGGCAGAGCAGAGCCCCCACCCCATAGGATTCCTAGGCTGTCTTCTTGGTGGGAGCAGACCACCAGCTTCCACACAATCTCCTGGCTTCTCTCTGTTGGGTACACTGTCAACAGAACCAAGTCAGAGAGTATGTAGATGGCTCACACAGAAAGGACTCAACACACATATTCTATTAAGTACCGTCAGCCAGCAATTCAGCGGCTAATTCCTTCATTTACTCATCTGTCCATATTTGGGTCCATGAGAAAGAGGAAGAGCCCCGATGAGATGCATTGACACAGTGACTGTAGCAATGACAAGCATGACAAGACTTGTGAGGTTGGCACAGGACTGGGCTGTATTTCATCCTATGGCACAGAGGGTCACTATGAGTCACAACCAAGGCTTAATGACACCTGACAGTCCATTTTGAATTACCTGCTCTAGACTTTTCAAGATCGTTTCAGGTTCTATCTTAAAATACAATAAGTCTGTGATTGGATAATATCCATACACCTACAAGGTACACCAATTAATACGCCTGTTAATCAAGGTACATGCCAACCACTAAAGCCAATGATGAAGAAATTGAGGAATTCTACCAACCTTTGCAGAAACAATGGCATCAAACCTAACAACACTTGTGAGGATGGTGCAGGGTAATGTTTTGTTCTGTTGTACATAGGGTTACCATGAGTCAGCACCAGCTCAATGACACCTCAACTCTGACGGTAGTTAGTTACACCTTTCATTTGTTGTTGTTGTTAAGTGTTGTCAAGTCAGTTCTAATCCATAGTCACCCTGTATAGGGTTTTCAAGGAGCGGCTGGTGAGTTTGAACCACCAAACTTGCAGTTAGTTGAAACCGACTTTGCAGTCTAGCACATTAACCCACAATGCCACACCAGGACTCCTTTCATTGTTGTTGTTGTTGTCAGGTGCCATCGAGTCAGAACCAACTCATAGCGATCCCATGCACAGCAGAATGAAACAATGTCCGATCCTGGGCCAACCTCATCACTACTGCCACACTCGATGCCATCAGTGATGCCACCTGGCCAATCCATCTTGTTGGGGGTCTTCCTCTTTTTCTCTGACCCTCCATCTTACCCAGCATGACATCCTTCTCCAGCGACTGTTCCCTCCAGACAATATGTCCAAAGTATGAGAGACGAAGCTTAGCCATCCTAGCCTCCAAGAAGCACTCTGGCTGCACTTCTTCCAAAACAGATCTATTGGTTCTTTTGGCAGTCCATGGCACTTTCAGTATTCTCCTCCAACACCACAACTCAAAGGCATCAATTCTTCTACGATCTTCCTTATTCACTGTCCAGCTTTCGCATCCACATGAGGCTATTGAAAATACCATGTCTTGGGTCCTTTCATACTGTGTGATAAATGCTGGGTATAATGTTAACCCACAAAGAGGCCAACACCACCTAACATGTGGTATATAAGGTTAGGGCACCCAATCAAGAAGAGCCTCCAGTTTGGGAGCAGTAAGTTCATACTCATGGGGGGTGGAGGGCAGCTCAGAAAAGGAGGGTGAGGATGGTTACATAGCCTGAAGAAATGTCACCAGTACCCTTGACATGAACATGAAGAAACTGTTCAATTGGTATATGAACTGCTGTGTATGATATTAACAACAAAAGTTAAATTAAAAAATGTTTAAAAGAAAAGTTCGTTTTCCATAGAAAGTGTATTTTTTCTTATCATCAAGCAGGTGAAGGAAAGAGAACTGGTTGATCAGCTGCAGAGACAGATTTTACACACACAGAGAAAAACACCGGTTCAGCCATTCACCTGAAACATCTCTATGTTTAATTTTAAGAAATAAGATCTGGCCATAAGACACCTTCTGGGAAAGGGATACACAGAATGGATTTGCATAACAAATCAGGAGACAGTGTCGTTTTCAAGGGGCAGAGCTGACACTGAGCAGCTTCTTCCAGGAAAAGCAAGGTTACATCAAGCTGTGATGCCCAGATGGCCATTAGATTTACAGCTATCTGAGAAGGAGCCAAATCCTTTAAAGGGCTGAGTTATGAGGGGTTTCTGGGTATTGATTAGCTGAGAGCACCAACTCTGTGTTCCGCCAGGCGTCAGGGGATGAGAAGCAGAGGAGAGATGGTGGTGGTAACAGTTTTGATGTAGTTTTCAAAGTCACTTCCGAAAAAGAGGATGAGGTAATAGTTGAATATACCAGCAAGGGACATGAGGAACAGGAACAGGATGATGCGTTTCCCAAATATGTAGCCAGGTGTGCTGGGGAAAAAGCAAGAGACACTGATCATGCAGCATTGCTCAACCTAACAAGACACGCTGTGTTTTCACTGCGTGGGATCTAAATGACAGAGCCTACGTTTACTTCACAGGACGCATGACAGTACCCGAGCTATTTGTGAATCATTGAACATGTTTCAAAACTAAATCAAAGGAGCCTGAACCTCAAAGCCCATAGTATTCTGAGCTCTGTTGTCCCGGTTTCTCCGGACTGTCCAGCATCTCTTCTCAGCTCCAGCTCCTGGGAGACACAGAGAGGCGGTCTGCTCATGGTGGGGTCTGTGGGCCATCAGGCATTTGAACTGGAGATTAGAATTACAGCTGGCTCGTTGAGACGCTTTCTAGGGTTGCCTCTGTCAAGGAGCCCTGGATGGCCAGTCCTGGCTTCTGCCCTGGTGGTGCAACGACTAAGTGCTCAGCTGTTAACGCAAAGGTTGTCGGTTCAAACCCACCCAGTGGCTTCATGGGAGCTAGATCTGACGACAATCTGCTCCAGTAAAGATCTAGGAAACCCTGTGAGGCAGTTCTCCTGTTACACCAGGGGGCGCTGTGAGTGGATGATCTATAAGAGTATATATGAGTATATAGTGACACAATAGATGACAGCCTAGGAAACCCTGTGGGGCAGTTCTGCTCTGTCACACAGAACCGACTCAACAGCACCCAATCACAAGGACTTCTGAGTTGTCATAACTGGAGTCCCGAGGTGGTGCAAATGGTTAAGTGCCTGGCTATGGACTGATAGTTTGGAGGTTCGTGTCCACCCAGAGGCACTTAAGAAGATCTACTTCCCAAAGGTCACAACCTTAGAAACCCCTACGAAGCGCAGTTCTCCTCTGACACCGTGAGTCAGAACTGACTTAACAGCAGCTGGTTTGGTCTTTGGGGGTTTTGTGTTCTAACTGATGGTTACAATGAGCCCATAAAGCTGATGGGGTCTACCGAGTGCTACTGTATCTGAGAGTCTCATCTGTCTTCCAGAGGCTGCCTGAGAACCCTCATGGACACTCATGAGAACTGGACACACATTGGGGAGCCCGTTGTGTGTTGTTGCCCTGATTCCAGATCATAGCAAACCCACCTGCCACTCAGGTTTCTCAGGGCTGTAAATCTTTACAGAAGCCAACTGCCACGCTTTCCCCTGAGGAACAGCTAATGGGTTAGAATCACTGACCTTTCAGTTAGCAGCCATGTGCTTTAAGCACTGCATCACTAGGGTTCCTGGCCTCAGTACAGAAAAGATGCTTCAATGCATCAGTGATTACCCCTGCACGCACCCCACGCCGGCAACTCTGAAGAGCAGGCAACTCCATGCCTAGGGAAAGGCATGGAGAGTTTTCCAGAATGAAAGAGAATAAAGAAGATGATTTGGGACCGTGTTGATAAGAGTAAAAATGGCACCGTGGGTGAAAGGATAAGTTAGCAACCCATTAGTGAGGAGAGAAGGAAGAGACAAGAACAAGAGAATTGCTTCTAAGGACTCTTTTTCTTAATCCAGCCCAGTCTTAACCATCTAATGGCCTCATTGAGTTTTGTCTGCTTCCAGGTTCCCCACACTGAATGCTCTTGCCTACCGATCTCCTGGGACACCACTGTTGTTGTCACTGGGAGAAGATACTATCTAAATGGAGAGACCATCAGCCATTAGGAAAGGTGTTGTTGGGGACTTGGGAAACAGACAAGAAAAATGGTGGGCAAAGCTAGCTGAGCGTATAGGGCCTCATCACTTCCATAATATATTACTAGCTCTCAGAGTCCTTCTAGAAACATCAGGAACTCTCGTCTCTAAGGAATGCGTGGCATATTGATTTTCTGAGAATACTGATTTCCCAGCCCACGTGGGACGTCTAATTATCCTTCTGGGGCTTTCTGTCTGCCGCTGGCTATAAACAATGCAGCGGTGACTCACTGCACAGTCTCCATTCATTGCCTCTTACATCTTATTTCCTCAACATTCTTTCCGCAGGTCCCCTGAAGATCTGTTACTCAAGAGAACGTACTGCAAGGTGCGAGCTGCAGTTCTCATTTCTCTAGACAAACAATGCAATGTTTCACACACAGGAGGTCTTGGGAAGCCAGACATAAAAGCTCCTTCAAACCCCAGACTCTCAAGGGTGGGAGGAGAGGGTGTGGGGTTGCAAAGAATGTGCTCAGAGACTTTAAAACATCCTTTGTGAGTCCGGCTCTCTTTGGGACATTATTTTTTTTTTAATAGAGAAAAAGACTCAAGTACCCCAGCTGTTTTCAAAGCCCTCAAAGTTCAGAGAGAGAGGATGGGAGATCCGAGTCAGCACCCCACCCCCACACATAATCCTATTGTTGCAGGTGTTGGGTGCCATTGGGTCAATTCAGACTCATAGCGCCCCCATGTGACAGAGTAGAACTCCCCCCATAGGGATTTTTAGGGTGTAAATCTTTGCAGAAGAAGATCTCCAGGGTTTTATCTCAAGGATTCACTGGGTGGGTTTGAACAACTAAGTTTTGGGTTAGACACAGAGCACTTCACTATTGTGCCAACAGGGCTCCTTACAAGTGTCCCTTTAGAGCCCTAAATGTGACTCTGAACATGGTTTTGGATTGCCACTTTTCCTGTCTGAAATGCATCGTTTTGAGCCTGCCCCAGTCACCTACCTCTGTGTCCTCTCACCCAGATAGCCCACGAAGTACTTTTGTCTCACAAACAGGTACATCATCCCGGCAAAGGCAGCAGGAACTAGGAGGAGGGGCGAAAACCTGTGTTAGTTTAGGAGCTGCTGAGAAATGCTAAACTGACACCATATTTGACAGTCGTTTGGCAGTTAACATGGATCGTGACAGGAAATAGTGGCCAAGGGTCCTGGCAGTGACGGTGGATATTCAATTCAGAAAATGTCTTGGAGTGGGGTGGGGAGGAACTGCTGCTATTGTCGTTTGTCATCAAGTCAATTTCAACCTCATCGTGGCACTGTAGGACAGGGTACAACTGTCCCATAAGGTTTCCTAGGCTTTTATCTTTAGGGAAGCAGACTGCCAGGTATTTCTCTCATGAAACTGCTGGGTGGGTTCGAACCACCAACTTTTTGTTAGCAGCTGAGTGCTTAACCACAATGCTATCAGAACTCCTAAAACAAATAAACCTTAAGAATGTTAATAATATTACCTTCTTCTGGTCTCATGGTATGGTTCACAAAACATTTTCTATTTTCAGATTGGATTGGTTAAGGGACTTTAACCCTGCCAAATGGTGCAGGCAGGATTTGAACCCTCAGCCAGCTCATAGGCTGAGTCTCTCATGGGTCCACTTTCAGCCCTGGGTCTCTAGGAAGAACAATGATGAACCACCACTAAGTTGTGTCTGTCCCAGAAGAGGCCTCCAGGGAAGGAGCTGTCCCTAGCACTTTAGTCTTTTGAGGAACAGTTACCAACAGAGAGCAAATAATCCAAGAGTCATGGTGAGTGTTTTGAGCTGGGAGCAAGGAGGCTTGGTGACCAGTTCCCAAACTGGGGCAGGTCCTTGAACATGTTTTGCATCTGGATAACAGTGTTCCTGCTTATTCAGGATAACAGTGTTCCTATTGACTCAGGCAACAACATTGTAACTTACGAAGGGTAACAACATTCCTACTGATTTAGGGTAACAGTGTTCCTACTAACTCAGGTAATAACATTCCTACTTACGCAATGTAACAGTATACCTACTTACTCAGGGTAACAGTTTCCTGACTTACTTAGAACAAAGTAAGTGTAAATGGTTATGTGCTTGACCACTAACCAAAAGGTTAATGATTTGAATCCACACAGAGGTATCTGAGAAGAAATGCCTTGGAATCTATTCATGATACATCACAGCCATTAAAACCTCTGTGGGACACTGTCACTTTGAAACACATAAATCACCATGAATTCTAATCAAGTCAATCGCAACAGATTTGGTTTTTTGGTTACCTATTCAGGAACAAAAACATGGCATGAAGAAAAACGTGGCATCAGGACTGGAGGAAGACTCATTTACAACCTGCGATATGAAGATGACACACCTCGTTGCTGAAAGTGAAGAGGACTTAAAAATACTTGCTGGTGAAGATCAAAGAGCACAACCTTCAGTATGGATTACATCTCAATGTAAAAAAAAAAAAAAAATCCTCACCACTGAACCAATAAACAACATTCTTAACAGAGAAAAGATTGAAATTGTCAAGGACTTCATTCTTCTCGTATCAACTATCAACACTCATGGAACCAGCAGTCAAGAAATCAAATGACGTATTGCACAGTGAATAAGGAAGACTGAAGAAGACTTGATGCTTTTGAGTTATGGTATTGTAGGAGAATATTGAAAGTGCCATTGGCTGCCAAAAGAACCAACACATCTGTGTTGGAAGAAGTGCAAGCAGAGTGCTCCTTAGAGGTCAGGATGGTCAAACTTCATCTCTCATACTTTGGACATATTGTCAGGAGGGACCAGTCGCTGGAAAAGGATATCATGTTTGGTAAGGAGGAGGGTCAGAAAAACAAGGAAGACCCCAGTGAGATGGATTGGCAAAGTGGCAGCATCAATGGACTCAAGCATGGCAACAATAGTGAGGTTGGCCCAGGACCGGGCAGTGTTTCATTCTGCTGGGCATAAGGTCGCTATGAGTCGACTCAATGGCACCTAACAACAACAACAATAATTCAGGACGTCAGAGTCCTGGTGTGGCAGTGTAGGATAATCACTGGACTGCTAACTGCAAGGTCAGTAGTTCAACTACATCAGTCATTCCTCAAAAACCCTATACAGGGTTTCTATGAGTCAAAATCGACTCAATGGCACTTAACAAAAACAACCTAGGAATTCATAACACCCCACATGTGACAGAGCAGAACTGCTCCATGGAGTCTTCTTGGCTATAATCTTAACAAGAAGGAGTTCTGGTGGCACAATAGTTGTTAAAAAAAAGATCAACAGTTCAAACCCACCAGATGCTCCATCAGAGGAAGATGTGGCTGTCCGCTCCTGTAAATGTTTGCAGCCTCAGAAATCCCGGGGGAACAGTTATACTCTGTTCTATGGGGTTGCTGTGAGTTGGAATCAACTCAATGGCAACAGATTTTTATTTGGTTTGGGCAATCTTAATAGAAGCAGATCACCAGGACTTTTCTTCTGTGGCACCTCTGGGTGGGTTTGAACCACCAACCTTTAGGTTAGTAGTCAAGCACAAAATGCCTGACTCCCTTGGTCACTGTGAGTCTGAATCAAAGGCAACTGACAACACCACTTAGCAATGCCGTGAGGGTGAAACAGAACCATGGCTGTAAGATAATTTTTCAAACTTCCAAACTGAATTACTTTCTAAGCCATGGTAGGCACTGTAGAATAAACACTAGACTGTAACCACAAGGTCAGCAGTTCAAACCCACCAGCCACTCTCAGAAACCATACAGAGGTTCGCTATGAGTCGGACCGACTCAACGGCACACAACATCAAATGAACTAATGTGTCAGGAACTGCCTCGGCCGCTTTGGGTACTTGAGTCTCCAAGCTTTACAGGGAGCTGGTTGAGTACATTACTGTTACCTTTCAACCTGTAGGGTATTCTGTAGGGACATTCAGGCCCAATGAAGTCAACCTGCCGGAGTCACCCACCAAATCAAAAGGTCCAAGAGAACAGTCATCTATTCCTTGCCAGAGTCTCTGTGCCTGGCAGAATACCTGGCACAGAGGTGGAATTCTATAAACATTTGTAGCATAGTGGATTATGAGCTGGTCTGATAACTGCAAGGTCAATAGTTCAAATCTGCGAGTCGCTCCGAGGGAGAAAGATGAGAAAGATACAGGGTTGTTATGAGTCAGAACTGATTCAATGGGACACATCCACCACCAACCAATGAATGAGTGAAAGGAGGTGGCCAAAGGAAGAGCTGGAATTTGAGACCTATCTGATTTCAGGTCTATCTGATTCAAAACTTCACTACCATCAGCACTATTCATACTAACATTCACTGGGATTACAGTGTGAGGTTGGGCCATATGAAAATGCTTGTTTTGTGGGTGACAGAGAGTCAGACCGTTTTATATGGTTCAATCTGGCAGGTGCCAAGCCCATGTTGGCGCCACACTAGCTCACTTGACTGTCATGGAAACACTATCAAGTGGATGGTTGTTCTTTTTGCCACCTAGGCAATCCCGACTCAAGGTGGCCCTGTGTGACAAAGTAGAACTGCCCACAGAGTTTTCTAGGCTCCAACATTACCAAAGCTGCCAACGGGCATTTCTCCCACGTAACTGGCTGGGTTTGAACCACCAACCAGGCACTTCAGCATTGCACCACCAGGCCTACATTACAACTCTAGATTCATCTACATCAACTGTCATCTAAGAAATGAAAGGAATCATAACTTCTAGTTCAACTGGAGTTTGACTTGTTGCTCAGGTAATGCCAGACATGTCTCTGGCATATGTAAGTCATGGTTGTTATAGATGTTGTTGTTAAATGCCATCAAGTCAGTTCCGACTCATAGCAACCCTGCGTAGGGCTTCCGAGACTGTAAATCTTTACAGGAGCAGAAAGCCTCATCTTTCTCCTTCTGAGTTGGGGAAGAAATTGGGAAATAAACGGTGAGCTCACTGGCAGTCTTATGCAACACAGAATGAGGCCACAGGATGTTCCTGAAGTGACTTCTGCTGTCTGTCCCTCCATCACTGTGCCTCATCTGTTTCTTGGTGGTGCTTCTCATCCCTTCATCTTCTTTCTGGTGGTCCCTCTTCACAGCTGACTATGTGCTTCAAAGTGTCTGACTTGTGTATCATTGTGCATCGACTTGGCACATAGTAGATATTCCATATGCATTTATGACAGAAATTAATAAAGAACATTCATATCTAATGAATCCTAGTGGCTCAACAGTTAAGCACTCAGTTGCTAATCAAAAGGTCAGCAGTTCAAGCCTACCCAGCCTCTCTACAGTAGAAGGACCTGGTGATCTGCTCTCATAAGAATGGCAACCTAGAAAGCTCTGTGGGGTACTTCTGTTCCATCACATTGGATTGCTAGGGGTCAGAATGAATGATACAGAACCCAACAACAACAACAATATTCATTTCTATAATACAACATAGTTGTTGTTGTTAAGTGCCGTTGAGTCGGTTCCGACCCATAGCGACCCTGTACAGGGTTTCCGAGGGTGTAAATCTTTACGGGAGTAGAAAGCCTGATCTTTCTCCTGCGGAGCAGCTGGTAGTTTCGAACCGCTGACCTTAAGGTTCGCAGCCCGATTCGTAACCACTACGCTACCAGAGCTCCCTTATAGGATGGAAATATATTGTGTTATGAGAAAGATGAGGCTGTGTGCTCCTGTAAAGATTTGCAGTCTCTGAAACCTTATTGACCAGTCCACTCTGCTCTATGGGGTCACCATAAATCCCTAGTCTTTTAGTTAAGTGCTCTCAATTGGTTCCGACCCATAGCGACCCTGTATAGCGTTTCCAAGGAGCAGCTGGTGATTTTGCCGACCTTGTGATTCAAACCGACCTTGTGGTGGACTGCTTATCTTATAACCACCCTCCCCCCAGGACCCCAGTGGGTACTAGAGTTTGTATTCCATTCCATTGCATTGTATTGTACTAAAATAATATGGAGGCCTAGTGTGGCACTGTAGAATACGCACTGGACTATTAACCTCAAGGTCAGTAGTTCAAACCCAGTAGTTCCTAGACTGACTCAGTGGCACTTAACAGCAACAACTGTATAGTATGTATAGAAAACAATGCTTGTGAAAAATCCAGGAATTAGAGACAAATGTTCTGGTCTTCCCACAATGCACTAGCTGAGTGACCTTAAAGAAGTTACTTTACCTCCTTGTACCAAAGTTTCTTCAAGGGTGATTACAAAAACACTATCATCAGGCTGATTCAGATTCACAGCGACCCTATAGAGAAGACAGCCAAGTCTTTCTTCCGTGTACTCTGGTATTTGCTGTTGTTAAGTGCTGTCGAGTTGGAGCTGACTCATAACAACACTGTATAGCGTTTCTGGGGTTTTAAATCTTCGTGGGAGCAGGAAACCATTTTTCTCATGTCGAGCCACTGGTAGGATCAAACCGCAGACCTTGTGGTTCATAGTTCAGTGTTTATCGTATGGGGCCCCATACTCTCTATGATGGTGATGGTGGTGTGCCATGGAGTCAGTTCCAACTCATAGTGACCCTGTACAGGGTTTCCGAGGCTGTAAATCTTTACGGGAGCAGAAAGCCTCATCTTTCTCCCGCAGAATGGCTGGTAGTTTCGAACTGCTGACCTTGAGGTTAGCAGCCTGACTCATAACCACTACGTTACTATCTTATCTTATAGAATTGAGTATTGTTGTTGCCGCAGACCTGCGTCATGGAATTTCTGAGGCTGTAAATCTTTGAGAAGCAGACAGCCTCATCTTTCTCCCAAGGAACGGCTGGTGGGTTTGAACCTATCCTGCTTCATCGGATGGGCAGAAGAGGGAAAACACTGAACAACTCCCTCGGGGCTGTCAGAGACCCCAGTGTGGAACCCGTGAGGTGGTCACAAGGCACCACCAGACACAGCGCCCATGGCGACCAAACCTTTCAGGGGCTCAACCGTGAAAAAAGGCCTAACATCTTGACACTGCTTCTGTTTCATTTTATCTCCAGAGTCGGCCTCTTCTTCCCGCTTCTGAAATCAGTGCAGTCGGTAACCCAGGGAAGCTGGGGACCTGGAGCCCAGTCCCTGACCCCGTAGAAGGTCACTACTATGGACGTTTATGAGCCACAAAACCAAGCAACAGAGCCCAAAAGAGCTCCCATTTATAATGCCCTTGGATCTGAACTCTCAGTGCTTAAGGATTCTGAGTCACACTTAGCCTGAAGCTACAGCTTGTCAGCGCTCAGCTATCAAGCGGCCACCCGGGAGCAGGCATTAATGATGCATTTTTGCAGGCGACCTGCACCGGTACCCGCGTGCCTGCATCCCAGCCTCTCCGGGGCTGCACGTTGAAGCTGGAGGTCAGGCCAAACCTTTCAAACTAAAAGCTTGCCCTCTGACCCGCCATAAGATGCATGCACGGTAGAAAAAGAATAGACAGAGAAAATCCTGAATTACCTTGGCTGCACAGTAGCCCAGCACACCAGAGCACAGCGAGGAATGTGGGGTATGCATCCACGCAGTTTTGGCTGTAGAACAAATACATAAATGCATAAGGCTCTAGAATAAAAAATTAAGGAGACAATGTGAATAGTGAGTGGTTTGCAACACCCCATGGCACGCTGTCGCCGTGCAGATGGTATGGGCCCCATTGCTAATTCCACTTCCATTTACCCAGGAAGACATGGCATCCCGTCCCCGCGCACCCCCCATGGGGACAGACACGCGTGAACACATGTCTCAGCTCCATGCACTCTGTTCGCACTGTGCGGCCCATGGCAGATGCTGTGCCTTGATGCGTCGTCTTTGGCAGGGCTCCTGATCCTTACTGTGTCCATGTGCTTCTTGGGACTGAAAAGTCAGCTATACAAACAAGAGGGCAGCAGTGATGCTGGGGCGGAGGCACAGTCTAAGGAAGAGTCCAAGGAAATGGTGAGGTGATTGAATTCTTGCCTTCCATATTGGGAATCCGGAGTCCTTGTGTGGTGCTGTATAGTAAGCACTGGACTGTTAACAGTAAGGTCAGTGGTTCAAAACAACCTGCCACTCCTTGGAAACCCGACATAGGGTTTCTATGAGTCAGAACCAACTCACTGGCACTTAACAACAACAACAACACAGGACTTCCAGGTTTGATTCCAAACCAAGGCACCTCATGCCCAACCATGGAGGATGACATGTAGTCAAGGTACTAAGCAGGTTTCAGGGAATGTCCAGAGTAAGATGGCATAGGAAGAAAGACCTGGAGATCTACTTCCAACACATCAGCCAATTAACACATTAGTAATCATAGTCTCAGGGTCCACCAAGGTCACCGGGCATAACACTGTCCACAAACACAATGCTCTTCATTCTACATTGGTGAGTAATGACTGGGGATTTAGAATATCATAAAGAACCAACCAAAGTGCAACCACTGGACTCCCCCTGCCCAGAGGAAAGAAGGTCAATTAAACTCAAAGGCAATCAGAAACAATTAGTTCAATGAATGAATAGACCATGAGGCGAGAAGAAATAGATGGTGCCTAGCCACCGCTACCAACTGCTCTGAAGGTTTCAAATGAGAAGTTCCTGGTTAGAGTGGAGAAAAATGTGTAACAAAACTCAAAATCTTAAAAAAAAGCCAGGCTAACTAGTCAGACAGAGACTGGGGCAAGCCAGAAACAATGGTCCTTCGTCACCATTCAGACCTGGAACTGAACTTACCCCCGTGGCTCAGTTTTCATCCAACCAGTAGACGGGTCTATCAGGGGGGAAATAACACAGGATGTATGCACGCCTCAGAACCATCAGCCATCTGAGATCAAAGGAGTAGCACTCATCCAAGCACAGAATTCAGAAGGATTAGGAAAGGAGAAGTGGAAACAGGGAACCCAGGGATAAGTGGGCGAAGTCAGATTACAATGTGGTGGTTGTTGTTGTTGTTAGGTGCTGCTGAGTTCGTTCCACCTCACAGTGACCCTGTGCACAACAGAACAAAGCGCTGCCCCGTCCTACGCCGTCCTCACAACTCTTGTTACGTTTGAGCTCATTGTTGCTGCCACTGTGCCAATCCATCTAGTTGGGGGTCTTCCTGTTTGTCACTGATCCTCCACTCTACAAAGCACGATGTTCTTCTCCAAGGACTGATCCCTCCTGTTAATATGTCTGGCCATCCTGGCTTCTAAGGAGCCTTCTGGATGTACTTCTTCCAACACGATTTGTTTATTCTTCTGACAGTCCATGGTACTTCCAATATTCTTCTCTAACACCATATATCAAATGCATCAATTCTTTAATGGCCTTTCTTATTCACTTTCTCATGTATATGAGGTTATTGAAAATACCATGAGCATTTTCATGGGTCCGGCGCACCTTAGTCCGCAAACTGACATCTTTGTTCTTCAACATTTTAAAGAGGTCTTGTGCAGCAGATGTCATATCGAGATGAAGAAAAATATGTACGAATTGCTGAATGGAAAACTGACCTGTTCCGTCAACCTTCACCCAAGTCACAATAAAAAGTTAAAAACAAAAACTCTATGGATCAAAAAACAAACAAACAAACAAACAAAAACTCTATGGATCACAACTGTCTGATCTGCAACCAATCATGGGCACAGGACTAGGCGACATTTGGGTCACCATGGGTCAGGGGTCACAACATAACAAGGAAATCTTGATTTCACATGCAGAATTCAGCCCAGACCTATAGGTCAAGTTAAGGACCTTCCAGCATTTAAGACACCAGGGTCAGTTCAGAAAACCTGGTGTTGAGAGTGTTCTCTTGCTGAGCAAATGATGACTGGGATGCAAAGTCCAGCCCTCACCCCTGTTAAAGCCCCTTACAGGATCCCGGGCACCAAGCCAGTGTTCTTTACCCATTGTCTCCTTTGAAAGCACAAACCCATGAATCCAGTGAGCTCAAACTGCACTCCATCCTTCCCCTGGTGTTTTTGTTCTTGTTAAGTGCTGTTGTGTCGATTCTGGCCCGTAGCAACCCTGTACAAGGTTTCCAAAAATCAACTAGTGGGTTTCAACCACCCACTTTGTGATTCCAACTCCAGTGCTGATCCTACAGAGCCACATCGCAAGTTGGCAAATGTAGTCGTGGAGAAATGAAGGGAAAGCGGGCAGCTGATGGAACACAGCAGTGAGACGATTCCCCGCCAGTTCTCCCTGAACCTCATAGAACAGAGACCAACAGTTGTCAATGAGTCGACTCTAACTCATGGTGCCCCTGTGTGTGTCAGAGTAGAACTGTGCTCCACAGGGTTCTCAGTGGATAAGTTTTCATAAGTAGATTCCACTCATGGTGCCTCGTGTGTGTGTCAGAGTAGAACTGTGCTCACAGGGTTCTCAGTGGATGATTTTTCATAAGTGGATTCCACTCATGGTGCCCCGTGTGTGTCAGAGTAGAACTATGCTCCACAGGGTTCTCAGTGGATGAGTTTTCATAAGTAGATTCCACTCATGGTGCCCCTGTGTGTGTCAGAGGAGAACTGTGCCCCACAGGGCTCTCAGTGGATGATTTTTCATAAGTAGATTCCACTCATGGTGCTCTCATGTGTGTGAGAGTAGAACTGTGCCCCACAGGGTTCTCAGTGGATGATTTTTCATAAGTAGATTCCACTCATGGTGCCCCGTGTGGTCTGAGTAGAACTGTGCTCCATACAGTTTTCAGTAGCTGTGTATTTCCCCAGTCGATTACCAGGCCTTTCTTCTGAGGTGCCTGTGGGTGGACTGAAATCTCTAACCTTTAATTTAGCAACTGAGACAGTTCACTACCCATTTGTACCACCGTGTTAACAGTCACCATTGAATAGTGCCAGACCCCATATGCTGGTATGTCAGTGGAGAACTCTGTTCCATAGAGTGTTCAGCAGCTAACTTTTTTGCCAGACCTTTCTTTTGAGGTGCCCCTGAGTGAACTCAAACCTTCAACCTTTTCATTCTCACCACTCAGGGGCTCCCATTTTGAAAACAGCCAGTACCCATATAAGATCAAGGACAGACAAGAAAGCTTGTTGGTGAATGGGGAGGGAGCCTGTCCAAACGAGACCCTTGAGTCAGTTGAGTTCACCAGAGGTCAACAACATGCCCACTAGATTTGGGTCTTCTTCCCCAATAGCATCTCCAGAGCAGGCAGGGACCTCAGGACCTGCCTTCAGTTTCAACTCGTCCCTGTATTTGTTTATGATTCTAAACATACTTTTCTGGGGTAACAACTACTTCCCCTTTCCCAAGGATCTATGATGGCACTTAACAACAACAACAACAATATGAAGACATCAATGTTGTCTCCATGGAGTGAAGCTCTGGCAGGTTTCTTTCCACTGGTCACAGCCACAGAGAAGCAGGCAAACTGTTGGTGGCTGAAACTCTCTATTCAAATACAAGCCACATCGAGGAAATAAGGTTTGGGAATGACACACCTTTAATGTGCATCCCAAGCACCTCCCATTTCCATCCCTAGGATGTTCAGGTGTTTTGGGGGGAGTTTTTTTTTGACAGCCTTGTGATTTAAGAGCAAAGAAAGAAAGCCGCCGGAAAGGTGATTGCACAATCTTGCTGTTTGTTCTGCTTTTGTTCTGGTTGTCCAAGGACACCTGACGTTTTGAAACGGACTGGTATCACCTTCACACTTCCACCAAGGAGAGAGTGAGGGTTGGGGGGAAAGGGGTGCCTGAAGGCTGCTGCCTCTTGCTTCTGTAGCTGGCGATGAGTAATGGCTAGGTTTTGTGGTGGTACCTTAGGACTAACCCCACAGGAAACTGGTCAACTTACCCAAACTGAATGTCTGCCTCAGATTATTTCTGGAGCAAGCCGGAGCTGTGGAGGCTGCCTTCCTCCCCCATAGCCCCACTTCCTCTGTCTTAGCACCAACATTTGCTAAAATCATGAAGGCTATCCAGACCAGGAGACATGGCACCCTGAGGAGGTTTTAACTCCTGGGAGGAGGTTCTGAGCCCAGGCCCCGGCCGTCCTGCTGCCTCCCCCCACTCTGTTAGTCAGCAGTGACAGGGTTGGACTCACTTGGCAGTGTAGACCCTCTCAAATGCCAGGGTTCCCGTCCTCTGGAAGCTCCGCCCATTCTGGGTCTTGCTCTCATGCTCCACTTTGTGCGCAAAGAATCCTGTCCGAGGGAAATATTTGGATTTGGTGATTCACGGGCATGTTTGGGAGCCTGGGTTAGGCCATTGTTTTTACCAGGATGTTAACTGTTTCTCTGACTTTACCTCAGAATGATACTCAACATCCTCAGACAGAAGTCACTCAGAAAGAAATTCAGTCATCAGGGCCATCGGTTGCTCACTGTGTATGGTGTGGGGACTGTCAGCATGAGCAAGACACTGACCCCACTGTCCTGGGTCCTATGGTGTAAGGGAAGAAACCAGTAACAAGAGGCTACCCTACTGAGAGTACACGGAAAGAGTTCAGGGCATAGTGGAACACCAAAAGAGTAAGGTGAGGTATAGGTGACAGAAGATTTCCTAGAGGAAGTGACACTTAAAATAGATATGGGGGATATATATATGTAATTGTTGTGGTTAAGTGCCATTGAGTCCGTTCCAACTCATAGTGACACTGTATAGGGTTTCCGTGGAGCAGCTGGTGGGTTTGAACCACCGACATTTCATTAGCAGTCCAGTGCTTATCCTACAGCATCACATTAGGACTACACACACACACACAC